CATTGACTGATATCGTTAATGGGTTAACCACGTGAGGAATACAATGTTTACATTCTATTGCGGCTCCACAATCAAGCAGTTTTTTTATCGCTGTCTCAACAAAACAAGCATGCTTAATAGCTGATATATTGTTGTTTAAATGAGCTGCAGATGGATTTTTAAAGAAAGGAATTAAATAACCGCTTGAAATAACATTTAAAACGAAGTTATTTGCTTGTAAAGTATCTTTCCAAAATGTTAAATTATGAATAAGACTTCCAACTAAAAAAGTACTTGATGAACTGCTTAAATTTTTATATTCATAATCCCGTTCTAGTAAATTAGGTATGTACTTAACTGTTTTAGAACTGCTTCCCAGACTGGAGTCTTGAGGCTTTCTTTGGGCACTGGTAGGCAAAGTGTCCTTCTGCGTTGCAATAGAAGCACTTGTCGCATTTCTTTCCACCGTAGTATTCAGACTGGGAGTAAACATTCTGGGAAGTGTTGGAGGATCTGCCTTTAAGTGATTCTTCTGGATATGATGTGCCAGGCCTACGAAAAAGATCAGCATTACCCTTGTCATTGCCGAACTCGTTACTTCTGCTGTACGGGCTGGTCCCCTGCTTATCACGCGCTTTGTCTCTGCGTTTTGCCTTGGCTCTAGATTCTGCCTGACGCAACTTGGTGGCGTCTTCTGAATTGTCTGTAAGAGGGTCGTCCATATACTCCTCAACGACATCCCACCCGTACTTGTCAGCGATCCTTATTACCTTGTTACGCTCTTTCAGGGCCTTTTCCGACTCCCCCAGCAACTTTAAAGCGGCTTCCAAGGAACCTCTCTCGATGAACGATGTTGCTTGCTGTTACCTTCAAACTTGAATTTCTGGGTGTGGGTTGCGGGACGGGTGGTGTTTTCTAAGGCTTGTGAACTTAGCCTTTGGTCAATTTCGGAAACAATCTCCTTTTTCTGTCTGGATAAGGCTGCATCTAGCTTTGTTGAAAATAATGAAAGCGCGTCCTCCGGAGAAAAGTGCTCGTCAGACCTTGGGACTGCTCGACTAGGCATATCTTGAACGTCAGGTTCATGCGAAAATTCTTCTTCGTCACTCATGGCTGCACTGGTATTTAAATATAACTGTAGAACTGGCTTTGGTGTTTTCTCGATAATTAGAAAAAGGCGCCAAAAGAATTATATAAAGGTCTTAAACCGAATTACTTCTAATTACGCAAAGAAAAATTAATACAATTATTTTATTAAATAAGAAATATTATGATTTTCAATGCGTTTCAATGGGGCAAATAACTGGGTCCCCGTTCCATTTTAATTGATCCTGTAGTACTTCGGAATACCGGAAATGCCTACTGTCTTTTCGGAATACATCTATTCTTTTCTATAGTCACCTGTGTAATAGGTGATGAATTGATCTAATGAATATGTATTAGCGTCCAACATTTGCTATAGAGATAAGTGTTCATCGAGTCTGATTGATATCGTACATCAATAGCTAATTAAATTAGAGTCGCATATGTTAAGGTTTCTGAAATCCAAGCTGTGTTCACATTGGAGATCAAGTAGATTTTAAGCGAAAAAAGTGACGGTCAATGGATAGGGCGTTTTTACGATTTTCAAACTGAGCCATTTTAGCGAAATTGCAATTAAAATTCTACGTCCAGGAAGGATGTGAACAATCAAGGTGTTTCTAAAATTGTTCCTATTTTGATTAAAATAACAAAAACGGAATTATTATAGTCACATATAATTAATTTTAACTGGCAAAATATTGGAAAAAAAAATACAAATTAAAACAAAAACAAATTAAATTAAAGAAAAACAAACTGAACCTTAAAGAATCGTTGAGTTGTGTAAAATGCAGATACAAGATGCTACAACAAAATTTTTATTTTTTATTTTTTAATATATTTTAGCGGTATGTTGAATGACAATTCTGAAAGAATAATTAAATGTTTGGGCTAGATCATCATAGTACTAGATGTTTGTGATGTCGTATAACAGAAAAAAAGATTATGCATATGCAATAGCAGTGGTGAAATACTAATACAGAGTCAGAAATAAAATAACGAATGTCCTTTATAGAGACTGAGTGATGATAGATGCAGTAAGAGAGAAGATAATGAATTTTTATTGATACTATAAATTATAGTAATAAAGGCTCTACATTTTTATCAAACTTAAACATAAATAAGGAAACAAAGGCAATAATTATAATAAATGACAACACTATGAAATCAGGTAGTGAGTTTTCTCGTATGAGTTGTTTAACGTTGTCATTTCGGGTCCTTTTATAGCTTACTATGCGGTATGGGTTTTGCTCATATTGTTGAAGGCCGTACGGTGACATATAGCTGTTAACTTCTACGTCACTTGGTCTCTAGTGGAGAGTTGTCTCATACATCTTCCTTTTTTTTACTTAAAGAAACCATACTTAATCTTATTTAAAAGTACAAGTTAACTCTGGGAATTACGACGAAATTTAAAGGCACCTTTTATGTGTGCTAAATGCAGAAATTACACGTCACGTCGAAACAGTTCATAAAATGAATATGCGTTTGAGTCCTTAAAGTAATTCTAAAGATATGAAAAGATTTACAGACACTGAGTGATTTTCTTTGGAGTTGAGGCGATAACTCACTATTCATTTAAAACTTATGGTCAATGAAATAAAACAAATTGAGGATTGATATATTCCTCGATGTTTGGCATTGAAAACTATCATAAATTACTACCGGTATGTGGTTTGCGAGGATAGATTAGCAATTGTCCAAAGACTTAAAATAACAGGAAGATGAGTATTTAATTTATCTATTCATGACTCTTTTATGAAATTAGAGATGCGTATGTTAATTTTCTTTAGAAAAATATGTGAGTTTTCCAAAGGGCACGTGTGTCGACTTCCCTCTCCAAAACATATAGTTATAAATGGCAAAGTAAATTCTTCTGTTTTCGGTATGTGAAACAACCCACCTCCCCCTCAATATAAAATCAGATTAAAAGTTGAAGCAGCTGGTGCACAACTTCATGTCCCACCTAAAAAAAAAATCAGTGCAAGTTTTTGTGAATTCCGTCATTTGTTTTCAAGGAGTCGAGCCAATATGTAGTCATAAGCGAATTTAGAGGGTCTAGTTGACAGAGGTCTAGAGCGTGTTTGGCGACAACTTAGTAAATAAAAACATTATTTTTCTTAAAATCAATATCCGTATAAAACGAAATGTTTGAGCAAACTGATTCAAGTATAAAGTTGAGGTTTCAAATTGTTTCTGCTCTAACAGTCTGTTTTGAGTTTGTATAAATATATTGAGATCAAGCATATCTCGAATATAATAGCCAATGACCAAACCATATAAACCAGTGTAATTGATTTTCCAAAACGGTCTTAGTTCGGAATAATCAATTAACAAATACGAATATAACTTAGGGTTTTGAACTATTTTCAAACTGGCTACAAACAAATAATCATGATTCATTTCATAAACTTCTTCAAAACAAAGACTGTTTTCACATTTACATTTCGACTTTAGCAAGGAAGCTACCTTTGGAATTTCCAAAATAGCACCTCAGAATGGAACAAACAGTGGGTTCTTCTTATTTAGCATGTTGTACAATCTAATCTAAATATAGAGATGTGTTTTCGTTATCCTCGTATGCTTATATGTATGAGCACGCGAGTTAAGATAGATCTGAATTTTAATCAGATTGCATGTTGTAATGTTATCTATCGGAAGAGAGAGGGATGGGAAAGAGAGAGAAATTATTTCTTTAACAAGAAAATTATACCCCACATAGAAAAGCAGCTTCATTAAGAAACCATATCAGTTTTTCTACATTTTATATTAAAAAAGGTAAATTTATGATTCTTTGTGTACCAATTATCTGATCGTTCATGCCAAACAGGCATTTAAGTTCACGATTGCATTTCTTTTTTTAAAGAAAGCAACTTGTCTCTTTTTTTCCTGTCTAATCTGGAAATTTTTTATTTAGGTACAGACTGAAAACTGTATTAAAACCTAAATCTTCATTCATGTCATGGTCCAGATAAAGAGATTTTCTAAATTTTTGTTTCTCAGATTTGGAAACTTTTGAAATAAATTTTGTAAGAATTCTAATCTTGGTGTCAGAGCTATATAGAGGGCACTCTAAAACAAAATGTAGCTCATTTTCTATCAAGTTAAGTGACCATTGTTGTCAGAGCCTTTCACATCTGGACAGAAGTTCAAGTTTTCCTGAGATTGTATTTAGTTTTCGTTCATGTCTCCCCGAGTCTCTATTCTCAAACTCAGTCTAAATTTTGTTCTTCTGCTGTTAACATTTTTCATATGTAAGTAACTTTCATAATTGAAAGCAAGTTTGAATTTGGAATATGTGCTGAGTTTTCCAGTATCTTTTGAATAACTATTTCTTATGTGTAGCCATGTCTTTCAAATTTCTTCAAATACAATTTAAATTTATTTTTTTTGCATATCCAGTTTTTCACTGTAAAACAGTATATTAGAATACCATGAGTTATTAGTCTGGTTACTGCTAGAGTTATATTCATTATAGGCTCTGCTCAACAGATCAGATGGGGAGTGCTCAAGTCTATACCAGTACAAAAATATTAGTTTTAACAAGTCTAATTATAATGGGTATCTCCAAAGTTTTGAAAGGACTGCTATGTTTGTACAGAGTTTAGTAACACCCAGAATGTGTTTACAGAATTTTAAGTTAAGCTTTTCCATTTCTCAATCTTTGAAAATATCAAAAAGAGAAAGAGTTTTTCTTTTTTGAGTAATGTCAATGACTCCCCAGTTCTCAAATCCACACAACACAATGTGTTGAATGCAATGGTCAAAAATATGTAAAAAGGTTTTAATAGATGGATCTGAAGATTTCATATCTCTATACAATTTGAAACTTGCTTTCATTCCCTTTTGAAACAATTGGTTTTTTTTTTTCTTCATTAAACTTTCCAATGTTTTCAATTATAAGGCCTAAATACTTATATTGTTAGGAACAGCGTGCTTACCGTTTGTCCTCAAAGTCATACTCATACTCATGAGTCTTCAACATGGTGAAAATATCGCGCCTCACTGCAAGTTTAAACAGCCCCTGGAACTGGTTGGACTGATTTTTTTTTTTTTTTGAATAGATGTCGATCCCGGTACATAACATCGGAGACATATATACACATATGTGTATATATGTCTCTGATAGCATAAGTGCATTGAACGACACAGCTGCGGCTATATATTAAGTTCAAAATCATATCTTTTTAACTACTGTAGCTGTATCTGTAATTAATCTTCATGCACCTCCAATATAGGAGATCGATGAAATCCTCATTTTAACCATAACAAATAAAATCACATAATAATGTAGTCCCATGTGAATTTTGATAAAGACCTGAGTCAGAAGTCTGGAGTATTTCAAACTTTGTCAATCGATTATTTCATATATTATATCGTCAAGCGTTTATTTACAAATAAATGATATGTGTTAAACAATGATGTGTTTACCTTAAGATTTTGTCATAAAATATGTTTCCCAGAATTTCCAATTTCCGATGTCTAAATTTTCACTGTGTATATGCACAATATGACATGACACATATTCACTGTGCATGCGCATTACATAACCCAGTCACATTTTTTGTTAACGTGCATTGAAAAAAAAACAACATAGAATTGGTTCTCAACTAGAATTTCAAATTCTCATGAATAATTAGTTAAAACAATTCTTTGAAATAATATAGAACTATCATTTTCGTTGTGTAAAATGCTAATTTTGTTCAATTTTATAAAATATGTGTTGCATTTATTTTTCAAGTTTTATTTTTGTTACTATGGCATCTTTTTTCCTGTTATTAATTTAGATGCCGTATGCCGAACTTCTATACGCCATTGGTTTTTATTATGTATTGCTTCCGAGTTTAGCGACAACATCAAAAGATCGATGAAGGATAAAAAACATAATTCACATAGTTAGGGGGAGGGGAAAAGGGGGGGGGGACTGGCTGCAAGCTTTGTTGTCCTACATTGGCTTTTGGAGTTAAAGAAATACATATGAAAGTTGGATCCTAAATCTGTTTGGACCTTTAACGCAAATAAAAGGTAATAAAGCATGTACACTTGAGGCTTTTTCGTGCAATTCAGTCCCTCCTATCGTGTATAAATGTTTTAAACTATCGACATATTGACAGTACAAATATGTTTATATGTAACCCATTAAGATTATTTGCCTCAGTGTTAATATTTTATATAATTAATCTGTTTTATTAATGCCTTTTTACACATAAATATGCTTATGGCTTTGGTTTGGCTCTGGCTTTAGATCATAAAATTAAGTTGATTTATTTATATTTATATCTATATATTCATATTTATATATGATTGTCGAAATTATGTGTGTGTCTCTCAATTATTTAAATCATTGTAATAAATTACTTTGATCATCATGAGTCCTTTAATTGGAATAAAAATATCTTTATCTTTATCTTATCTGTATCTACACATTAACGATTGTTTGACATTTGGTAACTAAAACTTACTGGATAATACTTTTTCTGGGGCGAAAAAACCCATCAAATATACTAGGGGCCGGTAACAAGAAGCTCTCTAATCACTTAAGATTGTTTTGTGACTAAGAGTGTAACAAGAAGCAATCTTATATCTATCTTAGAATGATTGACGGCCATTAAGACATTCGAATTTCTTACTGATTCAAGGGAATTTCTTTGCATCCCCTTATCATAAACTTATCAATTCGAGTAACACGAAAACATCTTAATTTTTTGCCGAGCCTGCGACTTCTGTCGCAGAAAGCTCGACATAGGGATAGTGATCCGGCGGCGGCGGCGTTAACTAACTACTAGCTTTATATTTTAGAAGCTGGAAGACCTGGATGCTTTATACTTTGTATATAGATGCCTTATGTTATGAAGTTTCCGTCTTTCATATGTCCATTGTCCTGGACCTCATTTTCATGGTTCAGTGACTACTTGAAAAAAAGTTAAGATTTTTTGTAATGTTAATTTCTCTCTTATTGTGATTAATAGGATAACTATATTTAGTATGTGCGTATCTTGCAAGGTCCTCATGTCTGTCAGACAGTTTTCATCTGACCTCGACCTCATTTCACGGATCAGTTAACAAGGTTAAGTTTTCATGGTCAAGTCCATATATCAGATACTATAAGCAATAGGTCTTCTATATTTGGTGTATGGAATTATAAGGTGTACATGTCCAACTGGCAGTTGTCATCTGATCTTGACCTCATTTTCATGGTTCGGTGGTTAAAGTTAAGATTTTGTGTTTTGGTCTTTTTTTCTAATACTATATGCAATAGGTCAACTATACTTGGTGTATTGAAATATTTTACGATGTGCATGTCAGTCTGGCAGCTTTTATTTGACCTTGACTTCATTTTCACGGTTCATTGCTTAGTGTTAAGTTTTTGTGTCTTGGTCTGTTTTTCTTAAACTATAAGCAATATGTCAACTATATTTGGTGTATGGAATGATTGTAAGGTGTATATGTCTGTCTGGCAGGTATCATCTGACCTTAACCTCATTTTCATTGTTCATTGGTCAATGTTAAATTTGCATGGTTAATATAAAAAAAGAAGATGTGGTATGATTGCCAATGAGATAATTCTCCACAAGAGACCAAATGACACAGAAATTAAACAGCTATAGGTCACCGTACGGCCTTCAACTAGTTTGTTTTTTAGATACTATAAGCAATAGGTCAACTATATTTAATGCATAGATTGATTATAAGGTGTACATGTCTGTCTAGCATGGTTCATCTGACCTTGACCTCATTTTCATGGTTTATTGGTCAATGTTAAATTTTCCTTGTTAAGTTTGTTTCTTAGAAACTCTAAGCAATAGGTCAACTATATTTTGTGTAGGGAATGATTGTAAGGTGTACATGTATTTCCAGTTTGTTTTATATGAGCTTGGCCTCATTTTCTTGGATCATGTTAAGTTTATGTGATACTTGTAGTAAAGCTTTATATTTAGGACTATGAACATAAAATCAATGGTCAGTAAAGCAGGCGAGACATTTCAGCGTGTGCACTCTTTTCTGTCCTTTAGTAAGAAATCTTTGCATAAATTAAGCATTTACGAGAGTAACACGATTGTTACTTAACATGTTTTAATGTAAGTGTGGTTCTACCCACCCCTTAACTACTCTTTGGATGAAAATGGCACTTGTTTTACATATATATATGATGAATAATTAACAGACGAAGAAATCAAGATCACGAATTATGAAGAACTATCGGTTAGACAGAGCGAGTATATAATATATGACTTATGGCAATATCTTTTAAACCCCCCTCCCCCGAGGAATTTTGAATCTGAAATTGTTTAATTTGTACTATTTGTTTGCTTTGAAGAAAAGAAAGATTTCATTTAGAAAAGATAGTTGTTCCTATTTATAACCAAGTCCCATTTTTTCCTGATACTCCCCAAAAGAGACCCTTTTAGTTTTAGACAATAAATATTAAAGACATAATTGTTTTTAATGTATATTTTTTTAAAAACTGTCTTATATACACTGATTCTCATATTTCCCCCAAAACTATAAAATAGTATTATATATATACTGATCCTCAATCCCCCCGCTTAAGGTAGAATGGGGGGGGGGGGGTCTAAATCAAAATCCATAGAATATTTTTATAATTTGTCAAAATGTAGTTTATGTCATGCTTTTTTCAAAAATAGAATAAAAAGTATGGGTCACCGGGCTTTTTATCACACTACAGGTTGTGCAAAATTGTCAGTGTTTGTATGGATTATGCATGGAAAACCCAATTTTGTGTGATAAAAAGAAAACTACACCATAGAATTTTAAGATAAAATATGAGAAGATAGCTCTCATGATATGCTTTCAGATAAGAAAAAGAAAAAATGGGGTCACCGGACTCGTTTTCTTGCTACATAATAAAATAGGTAAATTCACAACACATTCTATTATAAAAGTTACTTTATCTGAGTTATGTCCCCTTATATCTGAGTTATCTACCCTTATGTGGAAAAGTTGGAAAAAAGTGAATCAAACAAAAATATTCTGTTTTTTTTGTAAAATACAGCCATAAATATGATAAAACACATAATTTTCTATATTATCATGACAAGTCTTACACATGAATTACATACTACTCTCGAAATTTGCACATTTCATTAAAGATCTAGACCGATTGCTATCTGCTATTTCAAAATCCAAGATGGAGGAAGACACCCCAGCTACCTTAAGACTGTAAAACACTGCCTTAATTGTATATACTGATGCTCAAATTTTCCCCCATAACTTTAAAACACTGTCTTATATATATACTGATCCTAAAATTTATTAAAACTAAAGAGGTTTCTTGTGTTAACAGTTAATTATATTTCGAGTAAAAAGATATTCACTTTTTTTAGTTGTTGCTTTAATCTTAAAATAATTTGGCATCAACAGTGATTTTGAAATGAGATTAAAAATAGTTAATATGTATACTGATTTCAGGGTTGTTTATTTTGTTTGTACACATATATATATATACATTATCCTTAATTGAAACACTGTATTCTCTTGATTTAAACTTTCCTTATGTTGACCTGAATTATGTACACAATTATATAGTCCTTCAGATATATATATCTATCTATCTATTCTTATATATTGATCTTTTCCAGAGTTTAACTTTATCAGGATCAATAATTTAGCAGACTATGTAAGCAAACAAATCTTGTTACTAATTTTAAATGTATTTGGCAATGACTAAATCAAAGAAAGAAAACGTTGACGGACAGGACAGACATTTTTTAAGTGTGCTTAGAATATTAGCCGCCTTCAGGGTATTCTTAAACGATGTTTAGAGAAAAAAAGGGCGAGGAAAGAATGGTTCTGGTTATACACTCTTAAGGATTCTTAGGGCATTCTTTGTGCTATCGTAAACAAAGGCTAACTCAAATATTAAGTTGAAGAGCATTAAAAACGAAAAATTTCAAAACGTGAACTGTATCAATTGGTACAGTGTATCTATATCTTTTTATCAATTATAATTAAATGGCAATTTTGAATCTCAGTGAAGCATTATACAGATCAACACAGATTTTTCTATAAATAAAGAAAACAACTGTTAAATAAAAAAAATTGAAAGTCATATAGGATTACTGGGAACGAGTGAAAAATGTTATATAAAATATAAATTTAAAATTACAGAGATCTTTTCATGTACACTAGTGACTACAGTCATTGTGGATTTTGTCATGACCACTGACACTGCGATTCTCCATGGTGGGCACAACTGCCCAGCCCCGAACTCACAATACCATAAATTTTCAAAAAAAATTAATGGGTCCCTACTTAATTTTGAGCTACATATCTATTAAACAATGTATTTATAAATTCAAATAAGCGTTTTTGAAAAAAAAATCAAATACGTATAACAAAACATCCAAACTCTATGCAATTGTCCATGGTGGGCACATAGAAAATGTGGATTCCACACTGACTGTAGTGTATGTAAAAAATAATTCACATTACTAGTACTATTTTTGATGCATCAGCATATGCACATCAATATTTCCAGTCAGGTTTTCCCAAAGTCAATACAAATAGAAGATACCATTTATCTTTGAGGAACCCTAAGGGTGACTGGGGGGATAGATATATTGGTCTCCTTCCAACAGGTAGTAAAACCCTTGCCAAAGTTGGGCGTAAATTTCGCTGTGCGGGATGCATAAATTCGCAACCACGTCCGGTCAGAATTCGGTCGTTAAATCCGATGCCTTTTGTAAAGAGAGTGTCACGCTCTCTGCACGTCAAGAACCCTCGCGACAACTGTTTGAAGGGTTCGTAGGTGGCCTGTGCAAAGCTAAATGTCTGTCCATACCTAATTTACCCTCATATTCAGTGGCAGTCCAAATTTCCAGTCCTTCATCCCGTTCGACCCCATTACAGGTATTGTTAATTTGTTCTCGTCCTGAACATGCATGAAATATTTGCCACTGGAGGTTAAGTAACTAACAGTCAATAAATCAATCATTGTGAAGGGAAACAATACTCATTATATTGGCAGTCTGATTAAAATATTAAACTCGGATTTCGTTATCTCTATAAGAGATCAGAGTTCTATATTTTAATTAGATTGTATATTGCATGCTAAAATTCATTTTTAAAGGCAGTGCTTTAATGCCTTTCTAGTTGCCGTGTTAATCTTTCTTTCCGCGATATCCAACTTATCTACGTGGGGGGTCATTAGGCTCCAAGTAGATCCGGAAATTGTTGATTCTCTACTCTTCTTATTGTGATATAAAATGTTATTTGTTTCATTTCATTTACATTGGGAAATAGAGAAACGATCATTGTGTTTTGTTAGTTTTAAAAACTTTTGATATATTTTTATTTTGCATTATAAGCAGTCAACCGATTGACAAACTAGAATTATTTGAATTCCGTGTGGAAAGAGGTCGGGTTAATTTTGAGTGTTATCTGCAATCTAGATGTTTATAAATCATTTCAGTCGTTGATATAATAATTAAAGGTCGACTGAACATGAATTATATTATACAATTTAAGGCGCATTTCTGTTTATGCACGTGAACCCATCTAACGTTATTGATTGTTATTTCGCAGTTATATAAAGTAGCAAATTATCGTTCCTGAATATGTGGCGCCGTGGTAGCCGATCCTGTTCTTAAACTTCCGGTTTCTGCACTGTGCAACTATACAGTTGCATTTTTAATTAACGATGCCAAGTACTTGTTGTTGTGTACCTGGATGTCATTTAAGAGGAGGACATGCATTTCCAAATGACTTAAAAAGTAGGTAAAGTTGGATCAACGCCATGGCCCATACGCAGATTGGACGAGAACACGACGAAATCGTGGAGTCCATCTCAATCAGCTGTTGTTTGCAAGGCACATTTTACTGAAAAAGACTACGTGCAGGAAACTATTCATGGTAAAACTCTATTTTCTTTTTAAAATATATAGTTATATATGTAATCGCCATGCGAATAAACCAAAGTCTGTTTACAACCGCAATTATCGTTTTAGAATAAAAGGGGGTGGTTAATTCAAGACGTCATAATTTTTTGGATTACGATTCAATGTGATCTGTTTGAGATTTTTTGGTGCTTGCTACAATTATAATGATTTCTTACAAGAGGTATATCATACTGAGAATTATTTTAGCAGTAATTATGCTAATGTAATAATGACAGGAATGCATAAGCTATGCCTCATAGACTTTCTTGAAAAATATCAATGACAATGTTACACAGGAACAAAACAATGACATGCTCTCATCTATATTATAGTTATTTAGGTACAAACAATGTACGTTTGTTGCATAAGTCTCTCATTGTTTGTCCTTTGGATTTACATAACATACATTTTGATGTACATTGAATCAGGCTAACATAGTTTTATCCAGATTGTAATGAATAAATCTAGTTAATATATTGCCAGGTAGTACAAAGTATGCATTGCTAATGGAAGTTCATTTAATTATCAAAAAACTAATGTTTTATAACTTTTTTTAGGGCACAAACCCACCATACAGAGACTTAATTCTACTGCCATTCCCAGCCTATTTTCCTGGACCAAGCAAGAGACTGAATCGTCCGCAAAAAGAAAAATCAAATTAAAGTTTCCTACAACTTGGATTATTATTGACAGCACAGAATATCCCGTGATAAAACCTAAAGCTCCTAGAGCTCAGGCAACCTTTTCATCATATAAAAACAGAAACACTGAAAATACTTGTATGTTCGACACCTGGTGGTTTAGTCATCTATGTCTCTAATGCATATGTTGGTTGTACCAGTGACTGTGAAATAGTTGAAAGATGTAGAATAGTTCAATTATGTGATCCAGGTGACAGTGTGATGGCAGACAAAGGTTTAAATGTGCAAGATTTGTTTGCTCACTTTTTTCAAAAAAAGAAACAGAATTAGTTCCAAAACTCATATACGGGATCCAATTAACACGTGCACATAGAGCTAATTATTGGACTTGGCAAAACATACAAAATTCTAATAAATCCTATGAATGGAACTGAAACAAAACTTTCATCTGCAATAACATTTAGTTGTTTTATGTTGTGTAATTTTAGAACTTGTATTGTGCCAACATGACATGGCCAAAGGATGCATAAATAAAAGTGACGCAATGAAGTTTGTTCTGATATATACATGTATATATTTACAATTACATGCACATGTAAATTGTAATGCATATAAAAATAAGGAGATGTGGTATGATATTCAGTGAGTTTATCGAACCAAAGTGCATAAGAAATGGGTTAAGCAGTTACAGGTGTTACTGTCACCGTACAATCTCCAACAATGAGAAAAACTTGTACAGTGTAAAAAATTTCAGAGATCTTACAACTAAGTTTTGTTGTCTCACCTTGACTTTGGTGAATTGTTTATATCTGTTGATGTAAATATAAAAAAGAAGATGTGGTATGATTGCCAATGAGACAACTCTCCACAAGAGACCAAATGACACAGAAATTAATAGCTATAGGTCACAGTACGGCCTTCAACAATGAGCAAAGCACATACCGCACAGTGAGCTATAAAAGGCCCCGAAATGACAATGTAAAACAATTCAAACAAGAAAACTAACGGCCTAATTTATGTACAAAAAATGAACGAATAACAAATATGCAACACATAAACAAACCACAACCACTGAATTACAGGCTCCTGACTTGAGACAGGCACATACATGTACATACAGAATGTGGCGGGGTTAAACATGTTAGCGGGATCCCAACCCACCCCCTAACCTGGAACAGTGGTGTAACAGTACAATATAAGAATGAACTATAATAATCAGTTGAAAGAGGCTTAACTCATCAGATGGATAAATACAAATACAAGTGGACGTGGCCGGGTAGTTGTACATCCAAACAACAAAAAGACACTAAGTACAGATCTGAGAGTACTCGCATTTACTGACAGCTAGTTCAAAGCCACTAACAACTGATAAAAAAATCTTGCATCGAAGACTAAATTATCAATCTGTAAGCTCCCTTTAGAATTTTATAAATTTTAGATTTTACATTTCTGAGTTATGGGGTTTTATTCATTAAAAGAGGGGGAATTTTCCAGTTTTTGGACAACAACTCAAAAATGCTTTAAGCAGTTCGCATGAAACTTTGGTGAATTATTTATAGCTATTGATGTAATCTCCCTATTGATTCATAAATTTCAAATATGACATTGAGAAGAAATTGAACTTTATTTGTTTATAGTCTGGCAACAGATTTATTAAGTATTGCGCAACAGCACAGTGTATTGCACAACAGTAAGAAATCTTTAATTGAATATAAATTCAATTCATATAACCGATTTCAAGTTCTTTGACTACATTTATTCAGAAACTATAATATGTCAAATATTTAATTACAATCCAAATTCAGACCTGTATCAAGCTTGAATATTGTGTCCATTTTTGCCCCAACTGTTCAGGGTTGGACCTCTGCGGGTGTATCCAGCTGCGCTCAGCGAATCAGTTTATTTCTTAATTATGAACTCCTTTTTGTCAAGCCTGCGACTTTTGTCGCAGAAAGCTCGACATAGGGATAGTGATCCGTTGGCGGCGTTAGCTAACTTCTTAAAAGCTTTATATTTTAGAAGGTGGAAGGTCTGGATGCTTCATACTTTGTATATGGATGCCTCATGTTACGAAATTTCCGTCAGTCACATGTCCAATGTCCTTGACCTCATTTTCATGGTTCAGTGACTACTTGAAAAAAAAGTTAAGATTTTTTGTAATGTTAAATTCTCTCTTATTATAAGTAATAGGATAACTATATTTGGTATGTGCGTACCTTGCAAGGTCCTCATGCCCGTCAGACAGTTTTCACTTGACCTCCACCTCATTTCATGGATCAGTGAACAAGGTTAAGTATTGGTGGTCAAGTCCATATCTCAGATACTATAAGCAATAGGTCTAGTATATTCAGTGTATGGAAGGACTGTAAGGTGTACATGTCCAACTGGCAGGTGTCATCTGACCTTGACCTCATTTTCATGGTTCAGTGGTTATAGTTAAGTTTTTGAGTTTTGGTCTTTTTTCTAATACTATATGCAATAGTTCAACTATATTTGGTGTATGGAAATATTTTATGATCTATTTGTCAGTCACACAGGTTTTTTTTTACCTTGACCTCATTTTCAAGGTTCATTGCTCAGTTTTAAGTTTTTGTGTTTTGGTCTGTTTTTCTTAAACTATTAGCAATAGGTCAACTATATGTGTTGTATGGAAGAATTGTTAGCTGTACATGCCTGCCTAGCATGGTTCATCTGACCTTGACCTCATTTTCTTAGTTCATTGGTCAATGTTTAGTTTACTTGGTTAATGTTAAGTTTATGTGACAGTTGTAATAAAGCTTTATATTTAGGACTATCAACATAATATCAATGATTAGTAAAGAAGGCGAGACATTTCAGCGTGTGCACTCTTGTTTCATTCATAAATTACTTTATACTTGGAAATATAATTTTGCTTGGAGTTATAGTTTCTAAAAAAAGTATTGTCATTGAAAGAGTTGACATGTTGCAATGTACATTTATTCTACATAGTTCTATGGTACCAAATCAAAAGTTTATATAAAAGAAAGAAGTCAAAGGTTTCCCATCATAGTTTAGTTACATACATTTATTTGTACCTGAGGTCGTTGAATATAGATCATTATATAAATAAGGAGATGTGTTATGATTGCCAATGAAACAACTATCATCCATACATTGTACTTACCAGTAACAAACCACATTTGCAAAGTTGAATAAAATACAGTTGATAACATTTATTTATTACTAAAAAGAAAATGCCAAACTATTTTAAACATTATTTGACTATTAACATAGATAAAAAAGGTACAAACTGGACATAATGCACTAGTTCATAAACAAGTGAGAACAATCGCCTTCATATAGTGCTCAGAATATGACATTCATAAAACTTGTTCAATATCATTAGAGAACTCTAAATCTTAAATACTGAAAGCCACCTCTGATAAGTACAATGTACTATGCAAGATAATGATATAACTGGACTAAAAATACACACAACCTGTAATTAACTGCCTTTACAGCGCTTTCGCGCTTTGATTAAAATTCTTCCAACGCTTATGTTAATCAATATTTTCCAAATTAAGTTACAAGGGAGTGGAGGTCCAGGAAAAGTTTATGTGAATTTAGTTTTTTATCCTACATTGAACTTTTGATGTTGTCCGCGGGCTTACCAGGAATGCGTCAACTTACCCAAAAATGTTTGTAAAATTAAGTCAATCCGGTTTTCTCTTGCATGTGAAGCTGAAAAAGGAAATACTTTGATTATTTTTTATATTTAACTCACGGTGATAACTTCATAATCACGCTTTATAAATTGGAATATCTAATGCAAAAATAACATAGCGTAAACAAATCCGTTTTCTAGTCATGCTAATGAATACGTAACTCAATAGAATAACTAAACTAAACCGCCTCAGTGATTTCGTTGTAGCGTGCGCGCCACGAGTGCAGGAGATCGTGGGTTCGATCCCCAGTCCATTCAAAAGAGTTTTTAAAAAATTGGTATTTGCTGTTTCTCCGCTAAGTACGCGGCATTTAGGAGTAAGACGTGTCGGCCCGGAGACAAAATAATGTGTCAGGGTAGATTGACATGTTTTCTTGCTGAGTGTTACTTTATGAACTAGCACGTTAAAAATCCGGCTCAGCGTGTCGGTCTAGTTCAAAGCAGGTTTAATATCAACATGTTCTCGTCCTGAATATGCATTTAATTTCCCACTGGACGTTAAACAAACAACAAATCCACCATCAATAACTTTACTTTAAACTGATATGTACTTATTCAGAAAAAATGAAAACAACACGCTACTAAGCCAAAGTTACAAATAGCAATACCTCGAAGTGGAACTAATTTCTTGCCATATCTGAGGGTCTGGATGGGGGTCTTTCATTTCTTTATTCTTTTTTTTTTAGACCGTTTTTCTCTATTCTTGATTTATTTTCACATTATTCTCTATTCTTTATATATATTTCAGCACCCATTATTCTCTATTATGTTTTTTGGCCTGATTTTCTTTATTTCTTAGCCAGTTATTTGTGTAGTTTTTGAAAATCTTTTAAAAAAATGTGTTTTTATATGAAATATAAAAGGGAATTTCCAAATGGTTCAACACTTCTGACCTAAGACTATAGGGGAATATCCGAGTGGTAAAACACTTCTTACCTAAGACTATGGGGGAATATCCGAATGGTAAAACACTTCTGACCTAAGACTATAGAGATATATCCGAGTGGTGAAACACTTCTGACCTAGACTATAAGGGAATATACGAGCGGTGAAACACTTCTGACCTAGACTATAGGGGAATATCCAAGAGGTGAACACTTCTGACCTAAGATTATAGGGGAATATCCGAGTGATGAAACACTTCTGACCTAGACTATAGGGGAATATCCAAGTGGTGAACACTTCTGATCTAAGACTACAGAGGAATATCCGAGTGGTTAAACACTTTTGGTCTAAGACTATAGAGGAATATCCGAGTGGTGAACACTTCTGACCTAAAACTATAGAGGAATATCTGAGTGGTGAAACACTTCTGACCTAAGATTGTGGGGGAATATCCGAGTGGTTAACACTTCTGACCTTAGCCTATAGGGTAATATCCGAGTGGTAAAATACTTCTTACCTAAGACTATAGGGGAATATGAAAGTGTTAAAACACTTCTGACCTAGACTATAGGGGAATATATCCGAGTGGTGAAACACTTGTGACTAAGACTATAGGGGAATTTCCGAGTGGTGAAAAACTGTTGACCTAAGACTATAGGGGAATATCTGAGTGATAAAACACTTCTGACCTAAGACTATAGAGGAATATCCGAGTGGTAAAACACTTCTGACCTAGACTATAGGGGAATATCTGAGTGGTGAAACACTTCTGACCTAAGATAATAGGGGAATATCCGAGTGGCGAAACACTTCTGATCTAAGATTATAGGGGAGTATCCGAATGGTGAGACACTTCTGACCTTAGACTATAGGGGAATATCCGAGTGGTGAAACACTTTTGATCTAGGATTATAGGGGAATATCAGATGGTAAAAAACCACTTATGACCTAAGACTATAGAGGAATATCTGAGTGATGA